ATATATATATCATTTTTTTCTATGTTAGCATCTGACAAACCACTTTATCGTCATCCAATGGAAATAACGTAATTTACTCGCATTTGAAGGAAGGCAACCGAACGCTCTTCTCGGATGTCTTGTTGCTYGATATCTTAAACTCGGGGCCGTGCYATTATGAGCGATTTACCATGTGAGGCCAGCACAGGAGTACCTTTTTCACTCCCACTGCCGTGTTTCAGTGGAAAGTGCGTCCGGTTTCATAGAACTGCAGCTGCTCTTGATCTGCCAGAGCACCAGATAGCCTCGGTGTGCTCGTGCGCTGATCTCTGCTCGCAGATCGATACCACCCAGGACACTTCTGTGTACCTCTGAAAAAAGGGGAGACTGCATTTAGGATTTGGTCTATTTCCCAAGTTTTGTGAATGGGTGTGAATGCTTGAATGTTTCGTGATGCGAGGGACTGTTGCATTTTTTATTCCCCCCCACCCCTGCTGGGGTGTTTCCACTGTCAGACCAACAACTGGGGCTTTGTACTTTTGTATGATTTTCGACTTGTGCTTGAATCTGATCGTGATATTTACAACCAAATTTGGATTTATTAAACGCTTGTTAATTAAATTCAATATTAATACCGACATGTAGCGAAATTTACTCTGCTTTTGTGCTGGAGTGTTAGCAAGCGTAGCCTGTTGTCCTTGAATGAGCCACAATTGACGAACTAGTGTGACTGATTTTAAAGGTTGCATTGTGGCTGAATGGATTGTGTGTGTGTGTGTGTGTGTGTGCTTATGTGACAGTTTTCCATTTTAGTGATGCTTTGCTTTCATCCACCTTGAACGCCACTAAATTCAAGCCCATCCCTTTTGTCCTTCATGAGCATTACAGTCTTTGTTAGCCGACAGTGTGCAAGAAAACCCAGTTTCAAGTTGCAATCTGTCCAAATGGCGTACTAGTCGCTCCACAGAGCATCTAGGAAATGATGGATGTTGTGAACGTGTCAGCAAAAAGAGTATTGCAGGGAGTTAAAAGTGTTTAGATTTACTTCCCATTGCTTTATTTGGCGTGTAAATTGTGGGTTTGTGTTTTCAGATGCAATCTTTTCTGTTGCTAAAACCACCTACACGGAGCCATACTGTGCGGCTAACTGCTCGCCATTAAAGGGTATAAACAAGGTTGTAAAAAGAAAGCTATGGCAAATTTGACRCAAGGCGCGGGCCTTTTTGGTGGGCCAGAACCATCCCCTTTCATGACCGATTTTATTTTACGATTGGCAATCAGTAAAATGCCGTGCGCCAGCGTGWTCCCCTCCCTGCCATTTTGTGAAACATTTGTTTCCACTTGCCAAAGGCCTCTCTGGTGCAGCGGGGCGGAGGGTGCGGGAGTGGGGGGCCAGAAAGCCGGTGCCCCTCGGAATGGCAGGTGAAACTTTCTGCTTGCCTAAATAATTTCCCAGCAGAGCATTTCTCTGCGAGGACACAGCGGTGGAAAAGTGAGGCTCAATTCAAACTCGGGTGACAAGAAACAACAGCACGGCTCTCAGTCGATGGCTCGCATGTAGGGGTTTTGAATGCTGGTTAAATGGCAGTCTCCCTGAGCTTATCTGACATGTTACTCTCTCAATGCTTCACTCATTTTGTGCTTCCCTGAAAAAAAGAAAAAAAAATAAGCACATAGAAGAAAAGAAAGTGCAAAAGTGGGAAACAAAAACTCCCATCCTTCTAAAAAACAATCCAGTGTAACGCAGCTGACCTAGTTTATTATCGCTGCATAAGTATTTCACATTGTGCTGAAAACACCACATAGAGAGTGTGTGTTTTAGTTCAAGACGTAATTTAGGAACCAAAAATTGTTTCGAAATAAAACGGGCAAAATTTAATTACATTTTCAATTTGTTACTAAACAAAATTTAGATATGCAATTGTGTTTTATTTGATAGGTTGTAAGGATTTTCCCACTTTTAGCGTCTAACAAAAGCTCGTGTAATAATCTGAAGACGGTTTGGGATACAGAGAGCACACACACACTCACACACACATTGCCCTTGTCTCAATCTCTGTGCCATGTGAACAGGACTTGTCCTTATCTGTGCTCAGCTGCAAGACTATTTGGGGAAAATATTCAATTTCTGTGTGACAGAGGAGAACCTGGGAGGCAAGGCTCTGAGCAAACAGCAGTTATTGCAGCTTTGCCATAGCAGTGAAGAGCAAGGCCTGGCTGGGAGACAGGGGGGGATCTGCGGACGTCTGCCAGGGGAAGGAGTAATGTCTCGGCTGGATTATAGGAGAGCGAGGCACATCCACGCTTTAAAAGCCCCCTTTTCCAACAAGACAGGGCTGTTATTTTTGGGCTGCTTGTGGGTAAACATGTCTGAGCAATAGATTTCTCCCATACACTCTGCTGTTGTCTTTGACAATTGGTCTCGTTGGAAGTGAGAAAAAAGTTTAGCTCTCTCATTTTCTTTTTTTTTTTTTCACCAAATAATTTCATGTTTGGATGTGGGCGTTGCTCAATTTATTCAGTCTGACACTCTTCCAGAAACCTGGTAAGCAGTGCTCAACATTTAAATATTTCATTTTTTGCTCAAGTGGGAGTGCTTTATTTCTGATGCATTTTCCACAATTGTGTTTTTTAGATTCTGTAAATCATCCAAATTCTTCAAAAAGGTTACTTTTTTTCAGTTAGGTGATAACCCTTAAAAAAGAAAAAAAAACAGCATGTATTCCTGGAGGACAAAAATCAAATAAGAGACTTCGAACATTTAGGGCTTGCTTGTTCTTCCTCTGACTTGCCAATATTGATATACTGAGAGTTACTTTCGAAGACTACACATCTAGAAGATTGGAATGCATTTAAAAAAAAGTAATATTGATTTAGGTTATCAAATACACAGAACAGTTGAGCCAAGCTGTGGAGAAAAAAAAGTGTAAGTAAATACACTCTCAAACAAACACTGGCTGGTTGAAATCCTGCCAAATTTATTGGTGACTCTTTTTGTTGTTGTTGCACCTACTTCACGTCACATCTACGTTTGGTTGCTTTGGAGGTCTGAGGCTTTGATGAAGGATATTTTATTGTACAGTATTTAGTCGTYGAGTGTGGAAGCTTTGTTCTCACAACGTAGCTGCCAAG